ACAGAGACACACGCGCACACACACACACACACACACGCGCACACACAGACACACACACACACAGAGACGCACACACAGACGCACACAGAGACACACACACACACAGACGCACACAGAGACACACACACACACACCCACACACACCCACACACACCCACCCCCACACCCACACCCACACCCACCCACGCACGCCCGCCCGCCCGCCCGCCCGCCCGCCCGCCCGCCCGCACGCACGCACGCACGCACGCACGCACGCACGCACGCACGCACGCAGAGACAGAGACAGAGAAAGAGACAGAGACACAGACACAGACACAGACATATATATATATATATGTGTGTATATATATATATCTACAGTTTTTTTCCATCGAGGCTCGAGAGCCTTGATTTCAACAGTGAAAAGCGCGGCCTGCACTTCTGGAGGTCTGCGCTTCGATGGTCCCGAAGCGACCTTCGTTCGAAGTTTTGCTGCTTTCGTCATGGGCCTTTTCAATTTAGTCCCTTGAAGGAACTCAGAGGGATTCGAGGAAGATCCATCCCCGCCATGCAGAGCCCATGATCATTACTTTTGCGTGCAATCGGGGCGCCTTTGAAGTGAAGTGGGGTTAGTCTGCAGTCTCTTTTTGAGGCCGTGAGGCATGAGGTCGTGATGCCTTCGTCCACCCAGGTGCTTTCCATGCTGCCACCCCAGATGCTCCGAGTAGCATCGAAGGTATGGCCGGAAGCGTGGGATAGGGGATCGGACAAGGTTTGAGTTGTCTTCTGGAGAGACGTTTGTGCCCCAGGGGCCCAGGGGTTCATGGAAACTCTAACAGAGCCCGAACTCAGCCCCACCTCAAAAATACATAATGAATACATAAAATGTATGTACAGCAAAAGCATAATAATGATAATCGTAGTAATAATAAACATGGTAGTAATAATAATATTAATAATAGTACTCGTAATAACAAGAATAATACGAATAGTCGTAAAACAGATATACAAACAGATATGCATACATTTACATATACATATATCTATGTCTATGTCTGTATATACACACGCACACACACACACACATATATATATATATTATTCGAGTTTTATAACTGTTATTATATATATATAGACATATATTCATATGTATATATAAAGAGAGATAAATGATAAGCAAATATCTATAAATCTGTTTGTGTAGACAAATGTATGTATATATACATACATACAAACATACATACATACAAACACACATACATACATACATACATACATACATACATACATGTATATGTATATACATATATGCACACGCACACACCACACGCACATATACATATATATATATATATGTATACAAACACAAACATACATACACATATAAATAAATAAAAAAATAAATATAAATATATATATATACACATACATACATACATATATATATATATACATGTATACGAACACACACACATATACATATATATATATATGCATATATATATATACATACACACATACATACACATAATTATTTGTGGATGGGGTGCTTCGCCAAAGGCTGGGAGGCAGCCCAGTTTCTCAATCGGCAGGCTGGCGGCCGCACGCTGCAGGGCAGCCGCGCGGATGCCCTTCAGCTGCTCCACGATTGCCACCCGGCTTTGTGGACGATCTTGGGGATTGAGGTGGTTTAGGGTTTAGGGTTTGGGGCTTAAGGGTTCAGGCGTCTAGCCTTGCATGGTGAGCACTCGGCCATTTGTCAAGCAGTATTTTCACAAGCTTCTTCCCGAGCAGCAGACGAAAACCAAGTTTCGCCCTTGTGTCAGAGGCATCGTAGCGGTCGTAGCGGGCGTTTGTTCAGGTTGGGCGGGCGCTGGTAGGCACATGCCGAGTTCAGTTGAAGCCATGCAGAGGAAGCCTTCAAGGAATTCCAGATCGCTGGCTTCAAGACCGAAGCAGCTGAAGCGAGTTTGAGTAAGCCGAGCGGCATCCGTTGAAGAGCATCGCGAGAGAAGATCGGCATAGTTTCGGGTTTGGGAGCACTGCGCACTCGCCGGTCGGAGACGAAGTGTAGCCGCAACCCGTGTTCAGGTTACGTGCAAGAGGGCATCATGGCCCCCTTTGCGGTGCTGGTGCTTCTAGCCTACAACATCTGGATGAAGCTCGGCAGTGCAGGTTACCGGCCTCAGAAAGTGCCCGTGAGAGAGGCTTCTCCTGATAGGAGAAAGAAAGACTTGCCGAGGTGCAGTTCCAATGGCCTTTGCTTGAAATGAGAGTTGACGACGACGGCTCGAAGCTTCCACTGAATTGCCTGAAAATTCTAAGCTAAGGAAAACATACCTCGGCGAAGCCATAACTGCAGATGACTTCGCAGCTTCCAATCTGTTTCTTCAGTGGGCGGCAGAGCGCTTCCCCGACAGTGCTGTCTTCGAATTCTGGCAAATGGAGCTCCACGTGATTCGCACAGAGATCCATGAAGCATCCAGGCCATGGTTTCACCTAGCTCGACTGACAGTCTTTTTTTCACAGCTAACTGGCCAGTGCAGCCGATGCTATCAAGCAGCGTCGCACTTCGTAGTAACACACGAAGGGTAGCGTCTGAAACGCCTGTCGTTTGCCGGAGGTGCGTCGAGAGAGTTCATGCAGTTCTCGGCCACCTGGAGCTACCAGCAACTTGACGAAGCACACACTACGTCACTGTCTGGTAGCTGTGTCAATGACTGGCAACTTCCGATTCTACCTGTCGAGTAGAGCATACTCCTGTCACGACGGTGCAGGCGATTGATTCCTTTCTGGAGCAGAAGAAAGCCATGTGCCCTGGCTGGCTTTCCTCAGCTGCCGAGTTGATAGTGTTTGCGGAAGTTCATGCTTGTCATATTCTACTACTACATACACCACGCACTATGACATGTACTATATTGCACTCAAAGTTCGTATAGCACATTATATAGTGGTCGCAATATTATAGCTCGCAATATTATAGCATAAGAAGGATTATCTGGGAATCCTCGGCTTCGGCAGAATGGACAGGGTCGCCCGCACCAGGTTCTCCTTGGCGCTGCTCGACTGGGCCTCTGCAGCTCAGGGTTTTGAGCGGAGCCTAGCTGTGAGCGAAGTCAAGCAGAGGCGGGCTGGGTTTAGGGTTTAGGGTTTTAGAGCTTTAGGGTTTAGGGTTGCAAAAAAGGGTTTAGGCTAGGGTTTAGGGTTTAGGGTTTAGGGTTTCAGTGTTCAGGAGTGGAAAGCCTGTTGCAAAAAAGGGTTTAGGGATGGTACAGCATGTGGCGCTCTATTCTATCCTGCTCTCCTCTCTTCCATCCTGTCCGATGCTATGCCTGCTATTCGATTTTGTTGGGCCCAGGAGGCTTCGGCTTTCAGAGCTGGGGAACCCGAAGAAATCAACAACTTCAGTTCGAGGTTGGGGCGTTTGAGTTCCTTCATGGACCCGTGGAAAGACGGGGGGAGAGGCTGCGGAGTGTCTTTGTGGGGCGGTGTCTACGGCACTGTCAATCATGATAGGATCAAGTATGACACCGACGCGAGGGACATGTGAAAGACCTCTTAGAGCATCCTGAGAAGATGGAAGCTTCCAGTGAAGCTCCCCGTAAGCCCGAAGGCTTGTCGTTGCTCCGGTGGACAGGTTAATCCTCCGATCATGTCCGTACACGGAGTGTATAATGGATCCTCGAAGTACATCTGAGACATGGAGCAGTGCAAAACCACCGACTCCTGTGATCAATCAAGACGGTCAGGCGAAGCTACGTGCCAACGCTGTGCCTCGCCGGGTTTGTAAGTTTTTATGGAGGGGATCATGGGACTTCGTACATGAGACTATGAGTGCCTCAATTGGGCGGATTTTGAATTAGCTATATAGTTACCGTACCGCTAAAATGAGTACTCAACTTGGCTTTGTGGCGTTACCTCTGCAGTTCTCTATAACCCTGCTGACTGAGCCCCCCGCGGAATGAACCCCAGACTGTTCGTAGCTTCGCCGTAGTTTTCCCTCGGTTGTTGCTGTTGCAAGACTCCTGTTTTATCGGGTTGTCGCGGAAGCTGGGGATCCATGCATGCCGCGCCATTTGGACTACAGCAGGGCTGCCTTCACTGCTAGCGCTGCAGTTCTCGACTTTCCAGCACCTACATGTGTGTCGTCTGTGGTTCTTGTTCCTTTGGCGCTGTCCCATCAACTGATTTAACCGTAAGCTGCAGTCTACCTGATAAATGCACGCTTGGACCCGCTTGGCAATAATAAGACGGATAATTAGGACCAAGAAATGCAACAGGCAGCATGAGAAGCATCAAGATAAGTCAGAAAACCAAGAGTGCTACAATGCCTACATCTTTGGTGCTACACTAGACAGGCTCAAGTCCTACTAACGATGACATTAGCAGTAGGACAACCGTCGTAACGCGAAAAATTCAAGTAAAGACCACTGCTCTGCTACTGAGTACCTGCTTTTGCGGCTGCCAATGTCCGGACGACTACGACTACCATGCAAAGTACCTACTCCCCCCCAACGGCTTCTCTACGCTGCTACTGCTGGGCTGGTGCTGCTTGTGAAGGTCCTACTTGGCAGGGTTGTGCCGCGTGCTTTGTGACAGCCCTTCTGCAGCGCGCGAGAACTTCGATCGAGTGCAGAAGTATGCGAAGATGAGAAAACGCAACTCGGTTCATTATCTGCGAATCTTGGCACATGGACGAGAATTGCCTTTACATACTTGGCCAAGCATGTATGGGTGTTCAGCGCGTTCGTAGATTGGAGCTGTGACAGGAAGCACATCCAGCACGCATCCCGGTAGAAGAGGATAAATAGATCCCTGCATAGCATGCACGTATGCCCGATGGTGGGGAGATTCCTGGATTCAGCTTAGACACCGCGGTACATACCTGCGATACTGTCCCCTCTTCGAACATTCCTGAATTGGCTCCCTGCTTCCGGGAAGAGCCATGTCATGTTTGCTGGGATTGAATCTTCAGTTACACACTGGGCAACGAGGCAACTGGCCTCCTGAAGACGACCTTGCTTTCCTGAAGGTCAAGGACCTCTGTGGAGGGAGCCTTTGCTGAGAACCAGGCCCGTGGCCGCTTCCCCTCATCTGCACTGCAGAGTTCGCAAGTGGGTCTGTTGGCGGGTAGGTGTACGGCCAACCGTTTCGTAGTCATTACCCCCCTTTTCTTACAATGTATTATATTTACGAAAACATGCCACAATATACTATACATGCTATAATACATTACGTACAATATGCTATGATGTATATGATTGACCACAGTGTTTGACCGTCTCAGCAGCCCTTCCAGCCTGAAGCCGGCGCGGGGCGACTTGTCCATGGGAGGTGCTTTCAGTAGACGATCCCAAATGCAGGGCTGCGAGCTGACAGGACAAGAAACGGGTTTAGGGTTTAGGGTTTTTGGGTTTTAGGGCTTAGGGTTTAGGGTTTAGGGTTTAGGCTTTCCCGGCTGGCGAACGGAGTCCTGGATGCAAAAAGGGTTTAGGGTTTACTTGAAAAGCTTGCGCATTTCTTGTCCTTGGGCCAAGGACCTCAGTGGAGGCCACGCGTGCTCTGTTGGAGTTGGTCGAGATCTCCATGATGCGCTTGGCCCGCAATTTTCAAGCGGTCGTGGTACATTGAAGACGCCGGAAGGGGTCCGGAATTGTGACGACCGGCTTCTAAGGAAGATCCACGTCCTCCACACGATGCCCTCAGAGGAAAAGGGGCAGCTGAAGCAGCGTCTTGTCAGCATCAGTGTGGTCGCAAGCGGAAGGAGTGCAAACGGCAACAGCTGCTATAGTATGTTATCGTATGTTATAGTATGTTATATAACAGTATACTATCGTCTAATATAGCAACAGCGAGGCGATGTCCTCCAAGGCCTTGTAGTAGAGCATACCATGGTGTAGTATAGTATATCATAGTGTATGATAGTATAATGCAGATATGGCAAGCATTTCGCCGAGGCTAACCTAAACGTCAGACAAGAGCCCAAGCTACAGCCTCAACTCAGAGCCGGGAAGTGCAGGAAGCTGCTGCAAGACCATCCGACTCCTGCCAGCGAGACGGCCGAGGTCAGCTTCGCTCTGGTTCGGGGTTTTAGGGTTTGGGGTTTCGGGTGCCTGATATAGTTGGGCATGCACAAGTCTGTGCAAAAGTGCACATACATGCTCGTCACGTTATAGACTCAGATGTGTTTGCACACAGAGCCCACCAGCTGTGGTGGCCATCAGACACTAGAGGAATTGTGGATGCATGCTGAAACACGAAGGCCCATTCTCTGTTCGTCGTTCCCCACTTAATGGTTCATTTTAAAGAGGCTCTGAGCCTGTACGATCTTGAACGCACGCCGTGACCAGGAGGGGGCCAGAGCACTGCTCTTCTGCGCGGAGATCTCACGCCTGCAGGGTGACAACGAGGACCCAGACGAGCTGGAACAGAGGGTTTAGGGTTTAGGACTTAGGGTTTAGGGTTTAGGGTTTATGGCATAAGTCCGTGCTTAGAAAAAGGGTTTATGGCATTGTCAAGTAGGATCTTCGCATCTTTGCTCAGGTCTAGGCCGAGCCCCGGGTTCCTGTTAGAGTGTTTGATCCAGAAACCCCTCAACTCAAGTCGCTCAATGTGTAACCAGTGTAGCCATGCGAGAAGGATTCAAATCAGGTGCAGGCCCACCTCTTCTCGTGTGCTTCCACAGAAGGCTCTGGAATTGATTTGATTAGTTCTGGTATGGCAATGTCAGGTCAGAATGTTATTAGTGTAAATCTGTTAGTAATCACCATTTCCGGCATTGCCATCGTTACGATACTGTCTTCAATCATATTCCCGATAGCGGCAATCCTGATTCATACTGCCAGTGCCACCAATTTATGATTTTCTGTGACTGCTAACAGCATCACCATATTCGCAACGATACTTCCTTTTGCCGCAGTGCACTTTCTTGTGATGAGCGGTGTCTGCACAGGAGGCTTTGCGTTTCGCAGCAGAGGCTGCGGCGCTGTTGCCATCTCTGGGATCCCGAGGCATGCCCCCTCCGGAGTAGTGTTTCGTGGTCTCGATTGCAATGGGAGACTTTCTGCCTCTGCTGGGGCATTCGCGCGTGAAGAAGGCATGCCGCCTGAGCTGAAGCCGAAGCCCCTGAGCTCAGCCATGCTCTTGTTGGACCTGCAGCAATGCGCACACTGCTTCCGTGCCCTTGCCAAGCGAGACCCTTGCATCCCTTGTGGGTGACATGGCAGAGAGAGAGAGGAGAGGGACAGCAGGGAGTGGAGGTATCTCCTCCTCTCTTAGGTCTTCAGAGAGTAGGATGCAGAGAGACCTCTCGAAGCCATCCTCTAAGCCTGCAGCAGGAGAAGAGAGATACGTGATTGCTGCAGTTCACAAGTAGTCTCGAGTCGTCTGACTCAGCTGTCGTAGTTCATGCAACACAGGCAATTCCAACGGCACTGCTGCAGCCCTGCATTTGACCATGGCGCTGCTAGGTCGGGAGCTTGGGAAGATGCCTGTTCTAGAAGGAGGTGTCCCATGAGGTTTTCGGGTAGAACTGCAGAGAGGAGGAGAGGAGATTTCGACCGAGAACAGAGGCTTTTTTTGGCAGTACTGGCCAGGAGTGGAAGGCCATCTTGCTTTGCTGGACAAGTGCCCGAAGTGCTGCCGGGCCTACGATGATTCCATCAAGTTCAAGAGGCGGGTTGTAGGCCCGAGACGTAAAGCACGGGCGTTTTGTGCACTCACTGCAGAGGCTTGGGCTCGAACGGAAAATCGCGGATGGGAACATCCCTAGCACTTCCAGTGCCTTGCCAGCATCAGCTCAGGGTACAGACGAAGGCACGTTTTGACTGCTTGGTAAAGTTAGCAGTTAGCGTGATTCCGCCACCACCTGCAAGCCTGTTGCGCTGGTGTTGCTTGCGCAAGTCTTCACACAGTTCCTCATGTTGTTCACTTCAGCTTTCCGACGACTGGCACGGCGAAGCTAGCTTCTTGAAGCAACAAGCTTGCAGTTCAAACCGCACGATTTGTCTTTGGTGCAAGCGTGTCACATCAGATGAAAATGATGGAATGGAGCTGTCTCGATTTGGGGCAAGATCCCGCTGCCGTTTCACATGGCGACAGGCATCTTCGCAACTGAAGTTTTCGGAACGAGCCGCCGAACAGCCGCGAAAGCAACTTCCTTTTTCGAGGCAGTATGCAAGTGTTCAGCCCTTCTCACAGGTGGAGACCTCTCTGCTGCATTGGAGCAAAGCACGGACGATGCTTGTCGCTGTGCTGCAGCCGCTGGGTCTTGGGGAGCAGTGGGATGGAAGTTGTCGGTAGCAGGGCATGCAGAGGCAAGCAACGCCAAACCCGATATCGCCCGCCTCTGATTGGGCCATGTTGCAGAGGCTGTGGCGAAGGTGAGGAAGAGTTCTTCTCGGCAGAAGAGGAGGCACCGCACCAATGTGTATATATATATATGTATACACACATACATATGTATGTATAAATCTAAATCTAAATATAAATATATATATATATATGTGTGTGTACATATATAGATAGATAGATAGGTAGATAGACAGATAGATAGACAGATAGATAGACAGATAGATAGAGAGAGAGATATAGATAGATAGATAGATAGATAGATAGACAGACAGACAGACAGACACAGACAGACAGACAGACAGACGGACAGACAGACAGACAGACAGACAGACAGATAGATAGATAGATAGATAGACAGATAGTGTATGTGTATGTATGTATATATATATAGATATACATATATATATATATATATACATATCTAAAGATATATATATATACATACATATACATATGTCTATAGAAATCTTGTTGATACCTGCACAGAAAGAACTCGACTGTTGAGTTGCTGGCGCTGTGCTTACATGGTGCGGACGGGCATGCTCACTTCAACGCTTTTTGTGCCGACCATGTTACCTCGTGCCTTTGATGAGTTTGAGGTCTCAGTTTTTCGGAAAGTCCTACTAGCCTTAGCCTGGACCGGCTTGTGAGCCAGACTGTTTGTCAAGGAGGCAGATGGCACGGAGGGGATCTCATCCTCTCCTTCAACTGCCAAGGCGCGAACCGGCATCAGGAGCTCAAAGGCTTTCATTCGGGACTTGAAGTTTGCAGTGTGTCTTGGGGCCTCGTAGCCCTTCTTTGCAGAAGATCCTCAGGCAACTTGCATCGGCTTGGGGGCAGAGAGACCTGCATTGATTGGGGTGTTTGGTCGGCAAACAGGACTGACGCGTCTCACCCGAGATTTCGGAGCCAGGGCGCCTTCTGGAATCGCTGGAGATTTCTCAAGCCGCTCACAGTTGCTCCTCGGATAACACCAACCGGAGCTCACAGAGTGCACTTGGAGTAGCTCAGTAGATCTTGCTGCTCTACAGGACCGGTTTGTTTCATGTTTGTCTTTACTGTTATATTATATGTTCTTCTCTTTGTGGAGCCTGCCGTCAACATGTTCTGTTTTTAGGGGTGCAGTGCGGTGCCACTATTGTTTAAGTGCTCTAGCATTCTGAGCGACACAACAGAATTTCTCAAGGGTGAGCGCCCCATTGCGCGAGTTCTTCTTGGGTGGTAGTTTGAAAGCCCAGGACACAGACCTTCCTGCTGACAGTCCTGCCGCCCCATGACAGCAGACATAAGTCTTTCAGGGTCTATATGTAAGGTTCAGGGTTTAGGGTAGGGAATCATCATGAGCTGATACCGAGCATTTACATTCATGGAGGCATAACGGGGCGCTTCGAAAAGGACGTTTACATCGATTTCACCGCGCCTGCCACAGGAAACAGGCTTCGTCTTGGATTTGTTGAAGGCATTTTTTTGCGTTTAAGGTTTGGCAATGCTTGCAACTCGAGTTTTGGACACGCTAGTCGAGCTTACGGCCTGGAGAGGGTGCTAGGCGGGAAGTAAAGTAATACTGGCGAACATACCGAAAGTACCACGCCTGTCACACGCAACAGGCTTTAACACAGGATTGAGAATCTGCTGAAGCAACCCGTGGTGTGACATGACATGATCTGAAGTGATAGGAGATGACATAACATGATATGACATGATATGATATATCATGGCATGAAGGGACATGTGATGATGTGATTTGGCACGTCTCACGACAGATTGTTGCAGCAGGTTCACAATCCTATGTTAAACCTGGTTTCCTGTGACAGGCGTTGTACTTTCGGTATGTTCGCCAGTGTTACTTTCAATCTACTACTTCCCCTCTAAGAGTTTCATAGTGTATACATCTTCAAACGCAAAACGTCATCACCCCGTTCCCCCACCCCAAAAAGAAGCAAAGTAGGCGCAGTTATCCGCCCATTTGCGCAAACATGACTCCGAAGGAGCGAGGAGCCTAACAGCTCTTCATCCTAACAACTTTACAAATTCGAATGCTTGCATTAATATTTTTTGTTCATCCACTGCACGTACATTCCGTGCGATGAGGCGCAACTTGCATCCTTTTTCGCTTTTTCAAAAGCTTTAGCTGCAAGATTGGCTTTGAGGCTTGCGTGATCACTGAGCGGGTGCTTGGAGTCACGAGTTCGCTATTTGGAGGTTGATGAGCTTTGGCTGTGGCTAGGCGCTTTGTCGACATGCGGGTTGACGGAGCATGTGTTTCTGCCAGCATTGAAAAGTGGTTGCAATGGCACTAGCTTCAGCTGCTCAACGACGGCGATGACGATGACGACGACGAACGACGAACTGCTGCTACACGTCACCTGGCCCTCTGTCGACCACGACCCCAAGCCGAGTATGGCACTCATCCCAGGTCTCCTCGCCCTCGCAGACGTCGCTCAGCTGGGCTTCGGAGGTCGCGGTAAAGGCCTTGCTGGGAGGGCCTATGAAGGTCAAAGCAGGGCGTGCTCTTCCGAAGCAACTAAACTAATGCGGCATGCATTGGATTGAAGAAGATCGGTGCAGAGTGCATTCCGGGTTTAGGGTTCTGCTTGGGTTTTGCCTGCGTGTCTGGTGCCCAAGAGCCCAGAGTCGGGCCATGGAGGCGCTGCGGGATCTTGCCAAAAAGTCGGCGGTGGCTGGAGGCACCGGGAAGACTTTGGCCTCAAGATGTGGGGTCCAGCATTGAACCCCATTGAGCCTTGACCTGAGGGGATGTACTTGCGGTATGTTTTTGGTAGCTGTTCTTCAACATCAACTCAAAAACCGAAACTCCAAATCCCCAAACCTTATGCCCAGCCCTAGATGTCAAAGTAGCAAGCTCAGAGAGTCCGAAGCCATGCCTGTCTTGCGCGAGTCGAAACCCTACACCTCGCCGGCATTGTCCGAGTTGCGAGAGTCCAAACCCTAAGCCCCCCAATACTTGCATCCAGTGCACAGGATACATGGGGCACCAAGCCTCAGAACAGCTTGGGCACTTAGCGAACTCCACCGGCTGCTTGGAGAATTGGTGTCTGCAACAGTAGTATGTGTCTGTGTATATATATATACACACCCTTCTGTGTACGTATATGTATATGTATATGCACCTGTATATATCTATGTGTATGTATATGTGTATATGTAATGTATGTGTATGTATGCATGCATGTATGTATGAGCTTCGAGTGCGAGTGCTGAAAGTCTAAAAGTAACATGTGTTTATGCATGCATGGATGCATGTATGTATGTGTGTATGTGTGTAGGTATGTATACATACATTGGTGCATATATGTTTACAGCTTACATACTGAGGCATATTGTATATCTATAGATGATTCTCTCGCTCGCTCTCTCCCTCTCTCTCTCTCTCTGTCTCTCTCCCTGTCTCACTCTCTAAGTATATGCTCTCTCTGCAGCAAGAGGGGCATTTTAGCCTTCAGTGCTTGTCGAGGCCAACAGTGTGTAATAGTTTGATTTTCGGCTGTTGACGATTCAGGGCCACCTGTCTCTACAAGCTGATACTGGCAGGAGGATTGCAAAGAAGTGCAGCTAGTCTTTCATGCTGTATCCACAACCGCATCACACTGAGAAATTCACTCATCCCCCCAATTCCAAATCCTCGCGCTTCCAGGGTTTCGCAACCTCGCGTCTGCCGGAAGACGTGCCGCTTCCACTGGGAGCAGCTACCGGCTCAGCACTGCCAGCACAACGTCGCGAGAAGAATTGAAGCACTGCTTGACCGAAGTAGGATGACTGCTTAGAGACACAGGCATGCCGCAGATTTCACTGGATCTTGGCATAAGGCCGGCTGCACTTGGAGGCCCTTCTGAAACAGGCCAGACCAGGGACGCGATCAGTCTGCATGTGAGTTCTCTTCTGCCTGGTGCCCGTGTTCGCTTTGCACAACTTGTACTTCAAAAAGCATGATTGAGTACAGCTGCAGGCAGACCAAGGCGACTGCTCGGCGATGAGCTCAGACAGTAGCATTATGCATAGTCACTGGCCGGTAAGCTGCGGAGATTCCTCCGCACGTATCGGTGTGAGAAGAAGAAGAAGAAGTAGCGACCTAATTAGCGCGGACCGACAGTTTGTAGTTTCTGCTAGATTCTAGTTAAACATCCCTGGTGGGTTTTGTGCGGTTCAGATTCCAACAACGGCTTCGAGGTGGTCTCCATGCCAACTCCCTCTCCTGGAGTTTCGGAGGCCTGCTTTGTCCTGCTGCACCCAATATACCAAGATAGCAATATATCAGTCAGTCAGTCAGTCAATCCACCCGCCGCCCACCCACACGCCAGACCGACCGACCGACCAACCAAGGTACATACAGCAGACATACATATGTGAAGGATGCCGGTTGATGCAGGGCTGCTAGGGCGTCCTCGAAGCGCACCCGGGCGTCAGGCAGAGGTTGTGGCCTACTTGAAATGGGTACCTGTCTCAGTTTGGCGGCAGGAGGAAGGGCCTTGGCGAGTTGGGAAGCTGTGTCAAGCCGGACTCGTTTCATACCGCCGTGTCAGAAAGAGCCACCTCCAGATGTTGAGCTGAGAATCCTCGGTGCTATCTGGCTGATCGCGCTCGGGAAGCGATATTCCGGCCACAGCTCCGGGCACCACCAAGGCTCACTGGAATTCGCTGTTTCCACCTCAGTTTTATCCGCAATACTGTGTCGCATGTCGCAGCGCAGTGTAGCCGCGGACCCGCAGAGAATATTTTGCGTCGTGTGCTTCCGAGGCGTGGAATGACGCGACATGAGGCACTACGACAGTACGGCATCTTGACGTGCCTCGTCCCAGGTGAAAACTCGACCGAGCTGAGCGAATTCCCAACATCCCGGAAGCAAGTCATCAAGCAGTAAACAAGGGCTCGATTCAAACTTAGCTTCAGTGGAATTGCTGTCCTGTTGAAGTGCGGCATGAACCTTCCGTCCCCCGTCAAGCCTCAGACTTTGCGCGCTGCTGCCAGCACTGCACACTAAAGTAGGGGGGCTACAGCCACCAATGCCGCTACGGGGCAGCAGCGCCACCCCCATGACAGACCGAAAAAGCGAAGCGAACAGCTGCAGCGGCAAGAACAACAGCGGCTGTAACAGTAAGCAGCAGTAGTGGCGACCAATATGACGGCATGAAGGTCGTCAGCAACAGCAACCGCCACGTAACGACGGCGAACCCCGAACTTGCACTGCCAGCCCAGGTCCTGCCCTCCGTCGCCCGGTTCTGCCAAGCAGCTTCTGAGGCGGCAGGACTCCTAAGCAGAGACTACATCGAGGTCTGCGCTTCTGATGGGGCTCCAACCGCTGAGGGTTGAAGATTGTGTAACGTGCAGATCTTGAGGACATATTGCAAACTAGGGCTGTCTGGAAAGAAGTTGGACAAGAGGACAGTTTGCCGCCTGCAGCTGAGCCGACATGACGGCGTTTATTCCGTTGCAGAGGTGGTTGGGAGGGGCCCCGCAACCGAAGTGGAGACTGCCTTGTCTTGTGGCCTTGAGTGCCTTTCCGCTGGCGCCGCGAGTCGAGTGTTTCTTCCAGAGTCTTTTCGCTGTTTCACTTGCCTGACGTTTGCCACCGGCCAAGTCACTTTAGGTTCGCCAGGCTTTTGCTGGACGCTGTCGGCAGCATGTGCTCGAATTGTTGCAGAGGTTTCAGCTCACGACTTTGGCTGGACGCCGCCAGGGCAGATAGCAATTCGAGGCAGATTTGTCTTGCAGCCAGCCCGAGCGGCTGATTAAGGCTCTTGTCAGGGATCCAGGAGCTTGGCAAAGACGTGTCTGTACTAGTACAAGAAGCTTAGCTGGAGCTACCTTCTAGCTGAACACTACAGATGCTCTTTCGGGCGTGAGGCCAATCAACCGATAAAGCAACAAGGAGAGCATGCAGCCGAACAGTGATAGCATGCAGCAGGCAGAAGGTGTAGCAGATGCGCGAGCATCAAGGTCATGCATGGTTTCTACCCTCCCTGATAAACCGGTGGCTTGGCCGTAACCAGGTAGTGGCGAGGCACTATCGCTGTAGCATCAGTCATGGTCGTCGTAGCCGTAATTCTTGCAGCATGAGGGGTAGGAGCAGCTGGAGGAGGAGAAAGGAGGCGGAAGGAGGACGACGAGGAGGAGGAGTAGGAGAAGTAGGAGTAGCAATAGCTACAGCAGTAGCAGAAGGAGCAGTGCTAGCAGCAATTGCAGTAGTAGCAGTGCTATCAGAAATAGAAGTACTAGCAGCACTGGCAGCAGTAGGAGTAGTAGCAGAGTTGCCCTCGTCATCCCAGAAGCAGCAGCCAAGTCTCCTCGAAGATCTTGACAAGCAGGTCTGTACATATGAGCCTTCTGCACCCTGCAGACCTTGGTGCATCATGGTATCACGTGCGGCTAGCAACATGTGGCGTGGTACGTTTTCGAAACAAAAAGATTGCGGACATTCGTCATTGAGCTACGTTCCATCCCTACATGGTTGTTGCGCGACCGGCGTACTGGTAGTTATAACTCGCAGGCTACAGCTTCTTCTGCGACAAAGCATAGCAGCTTGCCTCACATCTTTCTTGAAGTTTTCTGTTCCAGGCAGAAAGTTAGCTGATAGATGTGGGAATGCACTTCCAAGCATGACTCGTCAGCATCCGGCTGAACCGACACTTCTAGATATCGGGAGGTCCGAGTATCCGTCATGGCGCATGTTGTACCTTTTGCATGCCCAAGTTGATTGGCCTTCTGCAGAGACTGCCTGCTGTAGCTTCTGCATTTGCGAGCATGACAATCACAACTACCAGCCGTGGGTGCCGTTGTTAACAGGGAGAACTCTTTGAGCCCGACTCATGGCGGTTGCGGCCAGACATGGTGTCGAGGCCACTGCTTTTGCATTTCGTATTAGCGCTGTACGTCCAGATGACCGCGGAGGAGAGCGCGATTGGTTTGCTGTGGTTTCAGCGTGCAGCAGAGTACTTAGACAGGACGCCAGAGAAGCGAAACGAGGCATCCATAGTTACTACCAGACAGGCATCGGTGTGCTCTGGTTGCTTTGATCCGACGTCGGCAGCCTCAGTCAGCATTTCGTTGCAGTGGATCCTGTTTCCATGCCTCTGTCGGCTCTAGTGGGCCTTTCATGTCTGTAGCCAAACGGTCCAAGGAAGATGTCAAGGAAGATATCTTTCCAGTACGGCTGTGGAGGAGGCACTGGCGATCTGCGGCGGTCATTCCACAGCTTGTCTTGCTGGGAAGCATGTGTTGCCTCCGAAGGCTCTCACAGCCACCTGCGTTGCCTGTTTGTGCCATATAGACACATACAGACATGTGTATGTGTATATATATATACACATTTATGTATACGCGTATCTGACTTACATATACATATACGCATATATACTTGAAACAATGTGTCGAAGTTTGTGGCCACCGCAACTTGTGCTCCGTGAAGCTGCAAAGCTACTCGCCATCGCTCTGTGTCTTGTGGCACAATCAGGTGCACACTTCAACGTCAAGTCGCCCAAAGTACGGTCTCCAAGCAGTGCCTGCGGATGCAGGACAATGCTCTGAAGAGCAAAGGCTTCATCCGCGACTTGTTATCAGCTGTCAAGTTGCTTTTGGCAGTCCTGCTGCAAGTCTCCCTGTACTCTTTGATCGAACATGGGAAGGTTGCCCGAGGATGCTCAAGCTTACGTTCTTAACCTCCATTGAACGTCGAAAGCTTCCAGCCTTTTTGAGGTTGGTGATGGCGCCGCGGACTCGCCCAGAAAAAGGCTCATGCTTGTACAAGATGCTGCCGCCGATGCTGCTGCTGCTGCTGCTGCTGCTGCTGCTGCTCGCTACTGCTCTCACTCAGTACATCGACGACCACTACATACTAATTTCAAGACCAGTAGATCGAGTGTCGTGCTTGCCGTTGTCGCTGTGGCTCGGGGAATTGCTGTCACTAATCATGCTATGATATTGTCGCGGTTGTGATTGCGGGTACGTCATTGCAGTGCCTAGCGTGATCTGCGTAGTTGGAGTATTAGCACGCGCGTCTTCAAAATCATTTAGTTACTATGCTGATGGACTCGCTTACTGCTATCGCTATTGTGGTGTTTCTTGCTGCGTTTGCGATGATGACTTATCTTAATTACTCTGTGGCCTTCTTTGTTCTTGATGTTGCAGTGCCTATGGCTGCTAAGTTTGCCACTATCACCATTCCGAGACCTGCATCCCCGGTCAATGCGGTTCGAGCTGGTACCGCCACGATTTGCAACACTGGGTTGTAGGTATGCATATGCCATCGTCATCTTGATCCTATGCGTTCAGGCGGAGATGCTCGGGTGTCCCGCGGAATGCCGTGGATTTTCCGGAACGAGGCAGTGAATGCAGCAAGCTCAGAGGCTCAGAGCCACAATCCTGGTCACTCGGCATCCTGAGTCCGAGGCACGAACTTGAGTTTTCAGGGCTTATTGCCCTGAACTCCTAAACCCTCAAGCGTGCCTGCTTGTGCGAGTCGAAAACCTTAACCCTTAAACAACAACCCGAAAGACTTGTCCTACTTACGTCTCACACAAGGAGCCTTGAGATTGCTAGGTGTCCTACCGCCTGTGCCATCCCTTGTATCGGGCTGTCATAGTCGCACCCTACTCCGGAAGCAAGGCTCCTCCAAACAATCCGACATCCTGAGATGTTCGAAAGCCTTTTGATTATTAATGTAAATGCATGTCGAGTTGTCTTGAATATGTCTCACTGCATCCGAGTTCGCACCAAGAACCTCGGCTGGCTTGTCGCAGAGCGAGCGCCGAAACCCTTAAACCCCAAAGCTACAGACCCAGCTGCCCCGCTTGAGGTCGACGAGCTGCGCACAAGCGGGCAGGAAGCATTGTTGGTCAACGCAGAGCCCTCACATCCGTTTTGCTGCATGACAGACATTGTCCTGGTGAATGTTTCCGCAACAGCAATCCCCGAACAGCCAAGTTTAGTACAGGTATTAAAGCAAGAAGCTCTTCTAGATGAGATGCTCCCAATGCAGAGCACCTGTCATGGAAACCTCGCATAGAGAGTCCAAGCCACAAGGTTACATGAGCGTCGGGCATGGCAGGTGCATGTTGTGTAGCAGATTCAAACCCCGTGCTAATCAAAGGGGGTGGTCGGCTCTTCAGGATGGTTTTGTTTGCATCTACACGTTGAGCCGACTTGTCAACTGATGGGGTCCGTAACATATGGGCGAATAGGGTTTTGGGGCCGATTCTACCATAATTAAAATAAGGAGCCCCCCCCCCCAAAAAAAATAGTATTGGTAATTATTTAGGCCGCTACATTATCCTCCAGCTGAAGCAGCGCTGGCGATGAAGATGAAACCCTGGGAGCTCCGGGCCCTCCGGGATTCCCCAAGCAAGGCAAGCTCCGAACCCAGGTTGAAAACAGCGAGGGCCGAGAGCTGGGTCGAGGGCTTACTGTTGGACGGAGAGGGCTTCGAAGGAGGGAGACCGTTGAACTGCAGGCATCTCGTGGCACATCTGCTCAGGGTGCTTGAACCCCAAGCAAGCCCCCAAACTCCGAGATCTACTGGTAAAGTGAGCTTTCGCCTGCTGGCCGAGGAATTGCGATGTGCAATCTGTCCAAGGGCTCCACCGGCGTCAACATTCTGGTCAGAGCCTGATGACACTGATGATTGCAGTGGCTGCTAGGAACACCTATATGAAAAATCACAAGGGTTCTGTGGACCGGCCACCTTGAAGCTTCAAGATGCTACTTGTAGCCATCGGCTCGCGCCCAGCAGAGGCTAAAGCTAAAGGCGCCAGGTGCGATGCAGGCTGATATCTCTGAGTGCTGACCCACGTTGAGGGCCGAATGCTCACGGACAACGTCGCTGTGGATGTGAATGTTGAGTTTTTTATGGCCAGAGTTCGGACTGCTTTGGAGGCGCATCTGCACAGGCGTTCTTATTCTTGGAAGACTCCCGCAGGAAGCCGTCTTCTCGGGAAAACCTCCCGGGTCCCGGTTGGAAGATGTTGGAAGGAATGGATTAATCCAAGGATGAGGGTGGCTAGGGCTTGGGATCACTCTCCTCGTCATTGATCATCCTTTCGCTCCGTATCGAGCAGAAGCTTTCAGAGGTTCCCGAACATTCAAACTGCAAGAGTAGAATGTCGATGAACGCTGTGCCGTCCACGTAACAGAAAGTTGAGCTCATTACAAGCTCATCCATCAAGGCTGCTTGATTGTCTGGGGGGCTTCTGCAGGGAATGTCGCTTTGACTGCCTGACCCCGCACCGCCGCCCACCTTGCTTGCAGCATCGGCAACGCGTGCTGCCGGGCAAATCGTCCTATCGCCTTCTGAATGCAGAGGCCAGGCCTTGCGATTAGAAGTGCATGCATGCATCCTCTCGCCCGACTGCATGTGCCGGTAGAAACTGCTTGGGAAGTACATGGTATGTAGAAGTGGACGGAGTTTAGGAGCACGTCCGAC